ACGGTTTATTATCCAACTATCAGAAATTTCACAACATGCCAAGGAAGAGAGGAAGGAGCAATTAAATAATTAAAATTATAAAGGATTTAAAAATATATATAAAAATGGGGAATATCGCACTTCTGACAATCGCAGCGAGTGTGTGGGCTAAATTTGGAGAATCCGTGCTTCTCGCATGGACAACTGTATGTGGCCGGCTCACGCGTCGAAAAACCTTCCGATTTATTCGTGTACGCACCAGACGGAAAAACAAAAAATATCGTGTATCCACAAACACTCCAATAAATAAATAGAATTGAAACAACACTTTGAAATGTTTTCCCGATGAAAATGAATAATAATAATAATAATAATAAGTTTCAATAAAAATAATAAAATGTAAATTGAATTTTATCATAACGAATTTGCTTGAATTTCCTTTCTTCTGAGATTGCAGCAATGCGCTAGTATATAATAAATTTTCAAATTAATCACAATAGTGATTTTCAGAAATCACTCAATCATTACAACAAATAACACTGATTTTTAATATTATTTTTTTATACTTCAATGATGTAAAAATGTGTTAATGTATAAATTCATTTTTTTATGTTATGAAAATTAGAGAGTGCATATCAAATAATAAAATAAGATTTGCTTACAATAAACTAATTAAAACACTATTCAATAGTAATTAAAAATTAAATAAAACTTACTTTTTCATCATTTTATACAAAATTATTTTCTTGACATTGCAACACCTAAACCTACAAGTCCGCCAAGGGCTAAAGCTGCACCTCCTACAATTGCCATACCCATTAATCCTTCTAAAAAATAAATCATAATTAAATCACTTAATATTTATTGTAAAATTATAAAAAATTGAAAACTGTATTTAATTTGAAAAAAGCCTTAACATGATTATTAATTATTATTATAAAAATAATTTAATTAACAAAATCTTTTCATATATCTACTATACAATAAATTATTACTGATTTACTTTTTAACATTCAGTTAACTCCAAGTTAAACACAATATTCAATCAAAAATAACATCCAATTGTATTTGTTGCAAGAAAAAATATAAAAAAAAACACAACTTCCAATTATCCAGGTTCAAACTATCCAAACTTTTTTTGAATTGAACTTTTTTGTAATTCTCAAATAAAACTATGATATTATCTTATATAATTTCACCCATTCATTTACAAATGCATTAAATTAATATTAGCTTAAATTACTTAGTAATAACTTGTATTTCAAAAAAAACCATCAGTTAGCATGTACTTAATGAAAACAATGAAAATGTAACCAAAATACATGCAAAGCAAGACCTGAAAATAATGTAATAAAGAAGCTTAAGTGCTTCAAAAAGAATTACCACAAATTGTCTAGAGCAGTGTTTCTCAATGGGGGCAATATTGCTCCCATGTGGGTATTTTTCCATATTGGGTGGCGATTAATAACAATTTATATTTTGGGGGCAAAAAACAATTTTCTGAGCAATATAGTAAAACATTATATTAAGAATAATTAGATATTTTATTCGTTATATCATACAATAATTAAACAAATAACATTATACTAGTGACTAGTCCAGGCACAGCCAACACACAGCCTGTCTAATGAATTTATGTGGCCCGCAATCAATCTTTCAATATTAGCTACTGAACTCTGAATAGCTCGATGAAAAGTTCAGATGCATAAAAAAAAAAAAAAAAGGTCAACAACTCACTGTACGTTTAGAGTACTCCATTACAAATCTCATAAGTACAGTGTAGAATGTTGATAAAGCATGATAATGTGAAAAGTGTATCTGTAATCTCTATCTACAATTTAGTCTTTATGGAGTGACACCACAATGAGATCTCACACCACCTCAAAATCTTCCCAGGGCAGCCTCTGGTTCGGCTTGTGGAAAAAGTTTCCTTTCCAATTCAGCCTGGGGCAAAAGCTGTTGGCCACCCCTGGACTAGTCTATTCAATGCAATACAAATTTGGCGTTAGCCTCAGCCCTCAGCATCAGAATTTTGAAGCCTGCAGCGGGGATTCACAGCGAATAATGCTTAATTTTAATTTTGTTAATACAGTAATATCAAAATCTGATGCGTATTCTAAGTAAATAAATGTTTATTTGATAATTATATACTTTGTAAAAAATTAAACTAANAGTAATATCAAAATCTAATGCGTATTCTAAGTAAATAAATGTTTATTTGATAATTATATACTTTGTAAAAAATTAAACTAATAAACCTAACAAAATTGTTTTCGAAGTGAAGGGCAATACTACATAATGGTTTTATTGAAGGGGACAATGATTCATTAGAGGTTGAGAAACACTGGTCTAGAGGATCAATGGCTAGCTCTATGAAGAATTCACTATCTTGAGTTCAAGATTACAAAAATCATCAGATGAAAACAAGATCTATTAATAGCTAAAGATATAAGTATGCATTCTATCATGAATACACATGTGTATTTAATGGACTTTGGAATTATTGAAACAATAGATTTTTGCAAAAACTGTCCAAAATAATTACATGTCAAACATATTTCTTCCATAATAAAAACTTTCTGTTCATTGGCAATGTGTACAATGTTTGAATGACCTTGAACTGATATCCAATAAATCAATGTATAATTGATAAAACTAAAACTGCTACTTGGGGTGGAAACTTTTTTATAAACATGTAATATGATGGAAGATTTTGAATTAAACACTATTTTTGTGAGTCACCAGACCAGATAATGACTTTGAATTTCATTGTACACATATTTTGAATTATCCAAACTGGAATATATGCAAAATCCTTTTCTCTTGGCCAGGGACTAGACTTGACCTCAAATTATCCAATATCAAAATAACAAGGTTTTACAGTACTGGGCAACTATAATTAAAGTACTCATATTCAATGCTGTCTAAAAAAATATTTAGCAATCCAAATACAACCAAATCTGGTATAGTGACATTTCAGGATGTGAAATATGTGGAAAGTATTTCCATAATAGAAAATAATTACTGCCCAAACTCACCATTAAGGCACTTTTGAAACTGCAAACAACAAACATTTTATTTGTACAAGGCACTCACATTATACAGAGACCTTAGCAATGAAGGAAGTACTGCTCAGTGTGGTAACCATTCTGAAGTCAGCTGTTCACTGACTTCAGAATGTTCAACAGTCAATCATAATTGATGAATATACTACTGATTAGTAGTATATTGCATATGACAAACATAACAATCTTTTAAGTCTGCCAAATGTCAATATGTCCTAAAAAAAAAAAAAAGAAAAACACACTTTTTAAGTGTTCCCATAACCAAAATACTGTATCATATGAATTAAGATCATATGGCTTGTAGTGCTAAAGATGCCATAGTGTTAAGTTTTGGTACCAACATTTTTTTTTACTTCCACAAAAATGTCCTTTCCATGTTCAGAAATATCACTATACCAATTTGGTTGCATTTAGCCTGCTAAATATCTCTATACACCATGTTGTATAGGGGTACTTTAATTATGATCACCCAACATATAATGTATATATATATTATATAATTAAAACATAATGACAAATTTTTCCAGAAAAACTACTACTATTTACCCTTATTGTTTACTAATATATATCCTAATATTAAAAACTCACAATACACCTATTTATATCTGTAATAAAACTTATTATCAATCTAAAAGGTAGTGTGGCTATCAGATATAATTAGGAAAAGCAAGATTCCATTTGACATTTGTATTTATTTGCCAATCTGAAACCATGTCGTAATTTTTAGTTGTTGATTAAACACTGCCACTATGTAGTGTAATTAATCAATCACTTGGCATTCCATCTTTTTTAGTTCCAAATTAACTTTTGGAAATAAAAAGATGAAGGAATGCCAAGTGATAGATTAATTACACTACATAGTGTTTAAGCAACAAAAAAAAGTTTGTATTTATATCTCATACAATTAAAAAATCCAAGATCAAGAAGTTCAGAGAATGTTTATCATCAACTTTTTTCTTCTTTGACTCTTAAAAAGTAAACAGTATTTATTTTAGACATTAAAGAACTGAAACAAAAAAGACAAATGTAGTTATAAAGAAATCAATTTTAATTAATTAGATATTAGAAATATAATGAGAGAAGCAAGGAATCACAAAACATGCATTTACTAGATAAACACATACAGACACATACAACTTATGAAAAATATATATCACTATCAGCATATGATATACTGTATGTATACTGATATACTGATTACTGATTTAAATAATATTCATATATCTTTTTAAAACATAATTCATATCATTATCATCCATTTCAACCCTTAAATCACAAAAGTATAGATTTTATATTAATTATATGTTATACAGTATTAATAAAAAAATTTAAAAATCCATTTTATATGTTAAAAATTTATAAATTATTCCAAGAATGAAGTAAAACTTTCCTTCAGTAACAATTTTATTGTTAATATCTTTTCTATAGGAATAAAAGAATAGATGATAAAAAAAAAAACACTATCAATTTATTAAACATATTTGTAAACTTTTACTATAATTACCTTTTCTCATTCTGTCTTTTATTAATTTTTGTAATTCCTGAGCTTGCCGATTTGTTGGTTCCACACTAAGAAAGGCTTTGATATAACTGGAAGCTTTATTATATTCCTAAAAACAGAATAAAAGTAGAATTTTTTTAATTATATAAAACTACTTATAAATTTTTTTTAATTAATTAGGAGGATTTTACCTTTAATTTGGTATTACCAACAGCTAAATAGTAAAGATAATCACGTTTTGCTTGTTCATCTCCATTATTAAATAAATCTAAAATATTAATATGTTATAAGTATACAAAATTATTTACAAATATAAAATTAATATATACAGTACATTTTTACATGTTTCAAAGATTTTTTTTAACAATTAAAAACTTTATAAGAAAAAACACAGGGTTTGGAATACTTTTTTCATTAAAAAAGTAATAAAAAGTAAGTAAATAACAACTCCAAATATAGGTAGTTCTTGATTTTCAGACACTCACTATTATACATAATATTCTGAATGAAAAATGAATGTATGTATCAGAATGAAAGAAAGTACAGTAGAGCATCGATTATCCAACCCCCGATTAACCGTCACATCAGTTAACCGACCATTCTAGTCGGTAAATTTCATATGTCTGCTAGTGATGTGGCACTACAATATTTGGCTATGTCTTGGCTACTTTAATATTATTTTTTAAAATTTTTGCGTGTTTTAGCTGGCAACACCAGCTCGACCATTGTAGGGAGGCCAGTATTTAAATGAGACTTAATTTTCTAATTATGAGTGGTTGTTTGTTTTGTGAGCAATAAAATAATTTAAAAATAATTTTTAACGATACAATAGTGACGATTATTATTATTAAAAAATTTGTTAGACTTAACATTGATGAAAATTCAACGCGAAGTAGGTTAATAGCGATATACTAATATACTAATTACATGGGATATACTAATATACTATACTAATAATGNAAATTGTTTTTACCCCTCAGGCTACAAAGGGAACTTGTATAGCAAAACTAGCCTAACAACTTTTCAATTAGCCAATTTTGTTTTTAACAGATAAGGTCAATTTTGTGTGTAAAGAGTTAATGTATGTCTATAAACCAAGAGTTTGCAAGAATAAAAACAAATAGTAGTGCTTGAAATATGAGATTAATAAATATAAGGTATTATATTCCGTTTAGAAGGGGGGAAAAAGCAGTTCAATTTGCAAATTAAAATGTATTACATAGCATTGCACTGATGATAAAAAATCAAGTTATTGAAAATAACTCTTTACAATATGTATGTCAAACGTTGTGTGAAATGATTGAATAATTTAAGAAACTAAGTTAATTTAACATATAAAATTATGATTCAATTTTTTAATAATATTGCTTAACATGTTTCAAAAAGAGATTTTTTTTTTCTATTCTTTATGTATTATACAACTATAATATATTCTCCTCTAAAATGTATAAAGAATTTTTTTTATTGGTGTCGTGTATTTAAAAAATATCTTATTCATCAATTTATCTGACAAAATATATTTAATAGTTAGATTATTATTTCATTTTTTTAGTTTCAGTCAATCTTGGAATGAATATGATTTAGAATAATTTACCAAACTGCATTCATGCAAAATAATTTCATAATCTAGGATATTATATAATTATGTTAATTAAGAAAAGATTTCTAAATTTAATATATGAAAATAAAGATCTAAGGAAATGGCATGCAAGATTGGAAAGAAAAAAATTCAGACTGAAATATAATTTGTTCTATCAAAAACAATATTAATTTTATAAAATTCATTTTATAAGTTATTTTAGAGGTTAGAAGTTTTAGAAGTTGTTATAAAACTAAGTTACTTTTTATTCTGCTTGTCTTTATGTAAGTTTCATAAGAAATTATTACATCTTTTGGCATACAAAAACAAATATATATGGGTATCATATATATATGATACCCATATATTTTTGTTTTTGTATGCCAAAAGATGTAATAATTTCTTATGAAACTTACATAAAGACAAGCAGAATAAAAAGTAACTTAGTTTTATAACAACTTCTAAAACTTCTAACCTCTAAAATAACTTATAAAATGAATTTTATAAAATTAATATTGTTTTTGATAGAACAAATTATATTTCAGTCTGAATTTTTTTCTTTCCAATCTTGCATGCCATTTCCTTAGATCTTTATTTTCATATATTAAATTTAGAAATCTTTTCTTAATTAACATAATTATATAATATCCTAGATTATGAAATTATTTTGCATGAATGCAGTTTGGTAAATTATTCTAAATCATATTCATTCCAAGATTGACTGAAACTAAAAAAATGAAATAATAATCTAACTATTAAATATATTTTGTCAGATAAATTGATGAATAAGATATTTTTTAAATACACGACACCAATAAAAAAAATTCTTTATACATTTTAGAGGAGAATATATTATAGTTGTATAATACATAAAGAATAGAAAAAAAAAATCTCTTTTTGAAACATGTTAAGCAATATTATTAAAAAATTGAATCATAATTTTATATGTTAAATTAACTTAGTTTCTTAAATTATTCAATCATTTCACACAACGTTTGACATACATATTGTAAAGAGTTATTTTCAATAACTTGATTTTTTATCATCAGTGCAATGCTATGTAATACATTTTAATTTGCAAATTGAACTGCTTTTTCCCCCCTTCTAAACGGAATATAATACCTTATATTTATTAATCTCATATTTCAAGCACTACTATTTGTTTTTATTCTTGCAAACTCTTGGTTTATAGACATACATTAACTCTTTACACACAAAATTGACCTTATCTGTTAAAAACAAAATTGGCTAATTGAAAAGTTGTTAGGCTAGTTTTGCTATACAAGTTCCCTTTGTAGCCTGAGGGGTAAAAACAATTTAGCCATTAGCAACAGAGGTGGAGTGCGTTAAATGACAAAATGATGAAATTTAACTTATAAATTTATGCAAAGTTCAAAATTAAAACCAACTAAAAATTATTATAATAAAATATCATGTCATGTAATAGATATTTTAATTTGAAAAAGACATTTTAACATTTTAATTGCTTTATCATTAAATAAATTGCTTTACTACACTGGATTTTTATATCTGTAAATAGAATTTACAGTTTAATAAATATTACCTTCTAATAAAATCACTCCTCTTCTAATATCTGCAGGATATCTACTTCGTGTAAGACACCATGCATATTCAAATTTAATTTTGGATGTTACTTCACCTCTGTTTAAATGCTCATTGTAGTTAATTTCAAATTTCTAAATAAAAAAATAAAAATACCAATTATAAAAAATGAAATTTAATTAAGTAATTGAAAAAAATAAAATTATAATTTTATATCTAGATTTTTCAGGTTAGAAAGTATCTAAATAATTAAACCTGCTAAAATAAATGCAATTAGTTTAAAAGGGAAAAATTTAAATTTTAAATTATATTATCATTAATTATTCCATATTTATTCACATATAAGATAAGATTTAATTCATTTTTTACTGCTTCAAAAACCTAGATCGTTCTATGCGTGCGAGCGAAGGATTCTGTGCATTTTTGCAATAATTTTTGTGAACCATGTATAGTTTGTGAGGATCTGAATTCAGACTTTCTGTGTGTTTATATCATTTCACATTGTAGCCATACTTTAATTCAATAACTGTCAACTTTTACACCTGGGAGCTAAACATCTGCTAAGTTCTCAGGCTTAATAACAACGCTTTCTCAGCACCTTTCGACCTAATATCTCAATTTCAACAATACAACCTTAGAACAGAACAACAAAGTGGCAGTTGTCACCAGTTCCTCGATCGGACCACTCAAGTTTTCCCTGTGCTAAAATATTTGGATATTTCCTCGCCTTTGGATACCTCCTCGCCTAATAACTAGGAACTGTGGAAATAAGAACTGTCGTACAGAACTGTCTTCTTTTGTGTCCGACTGACTTGCAGAAGACCAAGGTTTCGTACAAGGTATTTATCACCACGTGCAACTTATGTAAACTCTCTCTCACAAATCGGGGAAAAACATAATATCACATATAGCCAATATTTATTAAATCATAGAAATTATCAAAAAAAAAAAAAACTAGTCTATTTAAAATCGAAATGTATGGCCTGTTACCAAATATATGTATGGTATGTTACCAAATAAACTGTTGTTACGTTAAAGCGTCTCTGAGTAAGTCCCTTCCAGTGCACTGTCTCTCCTTCCATCCTGACTCTGTTCGCTCACACACATGACCGCTCACGCCCAAATGAAACGGTTTCTTTGTCTAGCCGTGAAGACACAGTGGTGTCAGTCCTGACAAAACTTGTCATTGCGATATTCGCCGACTTTCAAAGAGATGGTCCAAAAATAGCTGGTCACTTAGCAATGATTATAAATGTAGTTATTTCATATTTGTTAAGTTGATATTTTTAATATTTGTATTGAATATTTGAATATTGAAACTTTTTCCAATCATGCGCTTTATAATCTTTTGGTTTTGCTATGTGGGTATCAGGTGCATGGAAAAGCATTCCTCAAGAGCTGATAGCAAAGTCATTCAAGAAATACTGCATTTCAAACTCACTGGATGGATCAGAGGATGATGCTTTGTGGAGTGAGAGTGAATAAGAGTTATAATGAAGCTTCGAAGGGAGAATCCAAGTAGACAAAAGGTAATAGCGTCAAGAAAACATGGTTGCCTTAATATGTGCATTTGAAAATATTTTATTTGTGATTAAATGAAATAAAATTAGAATTGTATTAATAAATTTAATTTTTTTTATCTTTAAAGTCACACCTTGTCCTATATGTGAGATCAACTTATATGCAAATAAATACGGTATATGATTACACTGTATATTATTCAGAACTGAAGTTTGTCTATTCCAAATACTCGACCCTTGTAATAAGACATCTATTAGTCTGACAACTGTAAAACATGGTCAGTACACTAATGAGATGAAATATTTATGAAATAAAAGAAAATAGGAGTTGCTGGTGGCCAACACCAAAGCCATCATAAAAGACAAACATGCTGTCATCTAACATCAGCTGTGATTCAGTTAATCAACCAAGCATTTTTATGCATGACAGAGTTCTGTACACATCTAACAAAACAGCTTCAAACCTATTTCACAAATGACAGGATTATTTATTGATATTTCTCTTTAACATAGCCACTCTGACCATCAAATCTAAGCCTGTATGACTTTATGCTTTGGGGTTTCTTAAAAGCCAATGTGTATCAAAATAACATTTGTAACTTGGCTGATCTAAAAACCAGCATAACATGCTATGTTACTAGCATAGTTCCTGACACCACTTGATCACAATTCCAATGTCATTTTGTAGTTTCAATATGTTGTAAACCAGTGGCGTGCCGTCATTAGAAGCAGTGAATGCGCCACTTTCCTTGCATTTTCTAAAAAATAAATACATATTAATTTTAATTATATGAAAATAATCGCACAATATTTTATTATAACCGCATTATGTATCTTATTACAAATTTCTATACTACACGTGAAAAAAAAGTTAAGATTGCTATTGTATATTTGAATATTNATTTTCTAAAAAATAAATACATATTAATTTTAATTATATGAAAATAATCGCACAATATTTTATTATAACCGCATTATGTATCTTATTACAAATTTCTATACTACACGTGAAAAAAAAGTTAAGATTGCTATTGTATATTTGAATATTAGTGGCAGAGCGGAAGCACTGTATCATCAACATCCAAAAAGCCAGATTCGCGCATGCACTTTACACGGCACCAACCTCACCTGGTTTAGCCAGTGGAAGCCTAGGACCTTGGGTGGATGCTACACGTATACCGCATCCAATTCTATCCAGGACCGGTTCCGGGCTGTTAGCCGCCCGCCTGCTAGATATTTGGCCACCCTCACCCGATTATGTAAATCACGAGTAGATTTATAACTTAGCCCAGCTGATAAGAATTTACCTGTATGTTTTTATGATAGTTTTCTGTATAGTTGACAGGAGTTTAAAAAAATCCGTTAAAATATTTAATATATTTATTCCGCTCTCCGATTTTATATTACTCACAGATTTCAATGTTAAACCAGTGATATTACAATTTCGTACATCCCATCTTTAAGGGAATGTAGAAAAAAAATGTGTACAATTCTTGCATAATGTTAAAAAATTAACTGTTACTTTGGTAGCATAATTTACAACTAAATTTAATAAATGAGAGAGATGCATCAGGTACAGAAAAAGTTCTAGAATTTATTTTCCTTAAATTTACGATTTATTGTATCCGTTGCATAAAAATTTGTCTTTCCACTTTTTTCCCAAGACTACAAATATTCGAGTACATAGTAACCGGTTTCGACTTATTTCTACTTAAGTAGTAGTTAAATAATTAAGTGATTAGGGAATTGGGGACATAAACAAAACCCTGATGAAAGAGCTGAAATTTTACTTAAACAAAAGCTTAACCGAACCAATCTCTAGCCGAGTACAGTGTGGATTGATTTCTTCATAATATTAGATGTAATAAAGACAGAAATTTTTCCAGTTCAATGAAAGTGACTAAAAGTTGTAAATTTTGGAAATTTACAACTCAATTGCGCGTTTTCGGGTAGAGTGGACGTACGTTGGCCGAAATGGAGAACGATCATTTCAATACTGATCTATTTATTGATGAAATCTAAAAGAGACCAACCATTATCAAAGGATTTTATAGATATTTTAAAAGAATTAAAAAACTTGGGTTTATTTTGTCTTAGTTTTGGATACAATGTCACAAACATTTCATGTGTCAGTCTATCTCGTAATATTGGGTGCACCCAAAACTCTCTTTGTCTCTGCCATCGTCTTTTATAGCGACGATGGAGGAGAGGCATACAAGCAATTACTTTCATGTCCATTTCCAAACTGAGCCAGTGCATATGCTCCACTAAATGCTCGTCTAACGCCTGGTGTGTACGCTGCTAATGCGCGTTTAACGTAACTCAAAACGCTGAGTGTGTACATAGCCTAATGGCCCAGCATGTGATCAAAGTTGCTAACCTTAATGTCTGAAAAACTTCGCATGACTTGTTTTTTTATTTAAAAAAGTAAAGCAGCGAAGCCGTTCTTGGGACATGACTATATCTTGGATAGTGCGAGCAATGCTTGTGCAAATCTCACACTCACGCATGTTTGTATAAACAGTCTCAGCATTTTGTATTTTATTTTGACCTGGTTCTCAGTCCCCTGATTACCTACAAGTCTGGTTTATTTTATGTGCACATGATTTGGGAACCAAATACTCTGTGCCAAATTGAAACTCCTGACATGTACTGTACTCCTTCATACTTTTAAGGCAGGGATGTCCAACCCACAGCCTACTGTACTCTAAACTTTTTTAGGTGTATTTTCATTTATTTTGGTAAAGTATGTTGTAAAACTTATTCTTGTTTCACTGGATACACTTTGATTTCATAATGATGTAGTTGGTTTTAGAAAACTATTTTATGTATAGAACTGTTATGCATGTGGAGTAGTACATACCGTTGTGAACAATTCTTTTTGTGCATGAAAAACATCAAAACTGCTAAAAGAAATAGGTTGAGTGATTCCAATTTAACTAACATTCTTAGAATTAAGACTAGTATCATAAAAGCAGATATTGACAATATTATAAAAGGAAGGCAATGTCAAAAATTACATTGAATTTATTTTTATCTTGTGTGAGTATAATTTCTGTTTTTAATGTCAATAGTACAGTATTTTTTATAATAATATATATTTGTTATTAAAATTTGATATTCAAATTTTGAACTTTTTAAAAGCATATACAGTGGTACCTCTGTATACGTCTGGTTTAGAATACGTCTAATTTGGAATACGTCCTGTTTGGACGAAACAAATTTTGCTTGGTATATGACTTAATTCAATTATACGCTCCATCTATGAACAAGTAGCACTATCAGTGTACTAGAATAGACTAGACATTCGTGGTGCCACAGTTTATAACTTTGTTAAATTTCTTCCGATTTTAATTTGTAAGTAAAATTTTATTATTTTTATTAATCATGAATTACAAAAAGGCAAGTGAAAAGCAACAGAAAACTAAAAAAAAATGACTAGAATCACAATAGAACTGAAAAAAAAGATTGCTGAGGAATATGAAGGTGGCGCGGCCGGATGGCCGAGTGGTCAGGGTGACAGCCTACCGCTCTGGGGGACCCGGGCTCAAATCTGAACGGGTTGTAAAATCCCCAGGAATTTTTCGGGGGGTGGTTCGTTCGGATATGTTGGGCTCCGTCCCTCACCACCTGGCAGCCCCATTGTCAGCCTGGCTGAACCNATTCACATTTTGAACTTTTTAAAAGTATATATAAAGTACCTTTGTGGACCACTAAATATACCCAAATTTCTAATTTGGCCCATTAGGAAAAAAGGTTGGACAACTCTGCTCTAAGGTGTGCAGTCATTGACAGCAGTACTATTTTAGAAACAAGACATAGTTTCGTCAAAAATATTGTAAAAATGCAAGTATAATTGCTTTTGTATGATAATAAAGTGTTTATATTTTTGCAACAGATTGTATAAACTACATGGAAAGTATGTTCTCATAAATATTGCATTTATAAAAAAATTATTGGGTTTCAATTTGAAAAAATTGTAGCCTATAAATTCAGACTGTCATTCCGTCTGTGTCCTTCCTTAATCTCAAGAAAGGAGTTAGATAGATAAAAGTTGAGACCAGATATGGAAAGCTTATGGGCAGGAGGCCCGGGTTAACCCTGAAGTTTACATTACTTCAATTCAAAATTTCCCCTGTAAAGAGTTAGGTAGATATCAGCACAACTCTGTTGTTGACAGGAAAAGTATGACATACAGGGGCAAGACACCGCTAAAAGAATTAAGAGCATTGTGATGAAAAGTTGCAGCCCAGGTTGTGACGATGTCACAATAAATAATCACTTGTTAGAATTAGTTTGGCTTATTTGGTTACAGCAACATCATACATGAGCGATCTGCCGAGAGGAATGCATCCCAGGAAGACTTTTGTGGAGCTGAATCCTATTTAGGTGTTACTAAACATTATTAATATTTACGTTTAGTAACACCTAAATTAATGCATACCATTCAGAAATGAAAAAACCCAAGTTGTTAGATGTGGAAAATTAAATATTTATAGACTTTCCACAAGGTAACATTTGATTCCATGCAGGCAATTGCTATATGCTACCTGTCTCAGTAATGATATAGCGCATCTATTTTGCACTGTATCATTGTCACACTAATTAAGTGAATATAATATATATTTTTTAAAATTATATCCTTTTTTTGTAAGAATTATATTTTTTGCCAATAAATGGCACTATGTTTAACTCAGAAAACCTAATGTAGATAGTGAATAATTGATTTATAGAAATGTAATCAATATTTTGGGATGGGATGTATGACATTACCTAAGTTAGACATATCTAAATGTGACTGCTTAGTTTTGTAGTAATTGGTCAAATGGCTTAGGAGTGTATAGCAAACAAACAAACATCCTCATTTACACACACATATATATAAGCCTGTTTGTGGTATTACCTCTGACTACTTAGCAAGAAACTAAGAAACTTACATAAAATTAAAAAAGAGCACTTTATGGAGATTAGTAGTAGTTTGCAGTTTTTTAAATTTTTATCATGCAACACTTTTTGATTAGTTCTTTGAGACTTCTTTTTGACTAGATAGATGATACAAGCAATATTCCCATTGAAAGAATTAAAAAATAGCTTGTTTAAATATTTTTTCGGTTTAAAAACTATTTTAATAATAATTATTCTCTCATTTTGTGAATTAATTTTCTGCAAATTTAGGTAAAATGTTATTTTAGTTCAGAATTTATGCCATCAGTAATCAAATGACAACTACGTTTAATATTCAATTACAGTCGACTCCCCTATAACACAGTAGATATGTTCTGTTCTTTATGAAATTGATGTTCTACGAGTCCTTAAATACATGAGCCAATCACAGCCCGGCATGTATGCAGTTTACAGACTATGGCTGTTTGAAAGGTTTTCTTCCATAAAATTAATCGATTCTAGACTAATTTGATTCAACATTTCCAAAATATGTATAATTTTTTGGGAATAATCCATATAAACTATGCTATAAACAAAAAGTTGTAGGATTACTTACCAAGTGTGCACCATTCGATGATGCCATTGCTTAAGCTTGTTTTCGCCGTGGAATGGTGCATCAAATGACGCTCGCGTGCTTCTGATAAATTATTTTTCTGCGAAAACTTTGCTAAACTTTGGAGACATCATTAATATAAATATAATTTTTATGGATGTTAAATAATAAATGGTTTTTAGTAGGTCCGCTGCTCGTTTAAACCCAACAGTTTGTGCAATATCCACTATTGGTCTAGATTTGACCAATCATATCGCAACACAAGTGGCGGTGACGTTTTACCATATTATACGAGTCTCTTTTAGCGTGTTTATATGAATATGGTCGCAATTTTTTCGCCGTCATATAGGAATCCAAACTATATGAACCCGTTTTATAGGGGAGTCTACTGTATCTGAATAATGTCCATACTTATTCAGTATTAAATTTCTCACAAGTTTACTTTTATATAAATACATTTTATTAAATATTCATCTGAATTTATTAGTTTTTATTACTTTCACTGAAAACTATTTAATTTATATTCTAAAATTTTATAAAAATTACATTGTATGTTATTCTTTCATATTCATTAATTACATTTCACATTAAATATCATTTTATAGTTAAAACAAGCAAACAATTTTCATTTAGTATTTGTGAACATAGCTAAAACACTAATGTCATCATACAAATATTTAAAAAATTCAAAATATAGTCATGTTTCAGATGTTTATGATACTGTAATAAAACCAATAGATTTGTGATATATTTCAATTTTTTAATAGATTCAAATTTCAAACAAAACATAAATCTATAATAATTGAAGTTTAGACTATTTACAAAAATTTAATTTAATTTTTGTAAATAGTCTAAACTTCAATTATGAAGAAAATACATCCCGAGTTACCACAATAAAATAAATCTATAACATTTATAATTTTTATTACTAAAAAATGAAACAAGTCAAGGATTGCCTCTATTTTTTGGACAACTCATTCTTTTTTTACCCCTAATTCACTTTTTTACATTGAATTCAGTTTTGTAAATTTTCAATTGACAAAGAAAAAATTCAAGCTATCATTTGATGGTGCTTTCTGCTAGTTTTGGTTTCAATAACACCAAAATCATTTCTGAAAATTAAATTTTATTGTCTATTTTCTGTTATATCTATGGTTTCAACATTTAAAATAATGTTTTGCACTTGCAACATATTCATTATAAAAATCTTCTCTGTACTAAAGATTTTATATGGTTCAAACATAATTTGCATACCGAATAAAAAAAAAATAAATAAATAAATTCAAAGTCCAAATGCATCGAGTACATATCAGTTGACAGGAAGGCAAATAAAATAAGACTCCCATTTATCACATACAGGAGTTCTCGAAGATGAACAATTACAATAATTGTTCATCTTCGATAACTCCTGTATGTGATAAATTGTAATACGTGTAGTTGAGTAGGAGAAAAAACTGAAAACTGCAAAGATTTTAGCATGTTCCCATTATTAACACTGTACAAATTGCCAAATTGCCTTTTTAAATTTAAATCTCTAAAAATATCTTACAACCTTTCTTCAAAACAGAATGTCTTCACAACATGCAAATCTACTGTTTGACTTTTGTACATATTCTTTTTGGGCTGCGTTACGTCAAAAACGTATTTGAGTCGTTTTCCTCTCCCATATGCGAGAAACGAGTCTTATTTGCCTTCCTCCTAACCGAAATATACTCAATACATTTGGATATTGGATTTATCTTCTCTAAAAGTATGCAAATTGTTTGAATCATATAAAGTGCTTTAATACAGAAAAGTTTTGGTATTTCTTTTTTTTATTCTAATATTTTTCCCCTTCATATTTTTGCTTTGAAGTTCTTTAAATACAAATATGCCGAATGTTTTACGAATGAATGAGCTTAAGATTTATTAATTTTATTCGTATTTATTGTCCAACACTGTAAGTGAAATAAGTCACGTGAGTAAAACTCACATGACTTTAGCTTAGCCAGGAAAAAACTAATCAATGGTGACTCATATCGATGTTTACCTTAAAATATTTTTCTAGAAATTGATTTTCGGATTGTGGTTTTGTTATATTCAACTAAATATGGAAATTTATTTATTAAACTTTAATTTCTTTTTCTCTATGACAACAGATAGAGAAAGTAAATATTGATGGATTTCATAATTCTGACAGAAACGTTAATTTTTTTTATATATTAATACGTGACGCGAATTATAGTAATTTTTAAATAAATAACAATTAAAATTAATTTACCGTATAAAAATTACATCATTACCTTAAGATCATCCGACGAGACATAATCATCCAAAATCGCTTCCATATTCGATAGATCGTAGCGACCTCTTCCAAAATACAATTGAAACTTGTCGAATATCTATTTAAAACACGTTAATAAATTTGATAAACATGTTACTAAAATAGAAAAATAGACTGGAATAATTAGATTTATATTTTAAATTTCATTAATTAGTTAATATTCGAAAGCCTTATCATTTACTAAGCGATTTGTTTTTGCCTTTAACGGTAAAGCGGTAACCTGGCCACTCAGGATTTTTCGTTTGAGTTAGCTCAGAAATTTTCACGTGTTGACACGGATATGTTTAGGCCCGATATATCCGTCACCATCCAACCGTTCTCATTATGGGCCTGATCAAACCCACATATTCGGATATGTTTAAAAATTTACATAACGCCCGCATGCGGAAAATAAAGTTTTTCAATTTTTTAAAGTAAATTTTCAATTATGGTTTCCATTCAATTACGCATCACACAACCGTGAAACCCGAATATTTTAATTGTTCTAAAATATTCTTTAAATTAAAAGGAATAGGAAAATATTCTAAACTGTTTTTATATAATGTTAAGAGTTCCTTTATCTGTTTCTTGACTTTAATAGTAACACAAATTCATATAGTAAAATCTCCCTGTTAGAATTATACTTTCGAACGGTTGAATTAATCGCGGAATTTTTTTTTTTCATTTGGTAAGTTACCTGGATAATTGCTCTTTGGAAAAATTTACTTTTCTTTCTTCTTACATGGTCTTTATTCATTTTATGTTTGGTCAGAAAGTGCCTAGTAGAATTGGTGGAAATTACTATCAATCAATGATTGAAAGAGATCATAAAAATAGCGTGGTAAGCATTCTACTAAACACGTGAATGACGTACTTTATTTATTCTGGAAGACAAATACGTCATTCAAGATGTTTACGTGGCCGACGATTTTTATTAGATTATCAACGTATTAAAAAAAGAAATACATTTATTTTCTAATTGTTTTTTTTTAATGTTTTGTTTGTAGAACAAGAAAATACAACAGTTAAATGACTTGTTTTTATTTCTATCATCTTTTGATCTGTATTTTAATAAATGAATAAATAAAAGACTTCTATTTTCTAACATTCTAAATTTTAAATTGTTCCAAATTCAAAATACTAAACTTTAAATTTATCTTCTAATTTTGGTAATAAATTCAAAAATATATTTTAATTTGACAATACGGTTAAATACTTAAAGCATAGGTTGATTTAAAAAAAAAATTATTCAGATGTTCCCATAAACTATCGATTCACGAAGTTTGATTTTTACTTAATTTGCGATTTTTTTTATTGTTTTTAATTAGGGGCTGTCCATAAATGACGTCACACTGAAAAGGCGGGAGGGAATTATGATAAATCTGATAAGGGAAGGGGAGGGTTGAGATTCAGTGGATGTCCGTTTATTTCATTATAATTAATACAGTTTATGCATTTTATTATGTTTATTTAAAAACTCCTTGTATGTTTCGTTTCTAATTATGGTATTGTATCTATCATTCATAAAGTGATAAAGGTTTAACGGGAGTTGAGTTTTGTTGGATGTCCGAAGAGGAAAGGGAGTTACGGATATGTGGACAAACTGGGACAAGAAGGGGAGGGAGTAAAAATTTCAAGAAAAATGCGGACGTAATTTATCGACAACACCTTAGAAAAAGAATGCAGTAAATAAAAAAAAACTTGTTTTTTTTTTAGCTCTCCGTCCTATCGGCACTTGGAAGGAGTTTTTAGCAAGCCCAGAGTAGGTTTGTCAGACACACAATGGGGACGGCCGGATGGCCGAGCCGTGAAGGTGGCAGTTTATCGCTCTGCGGGACCCAGGGTCGAATCCGGACGGGTCAACCTTTTTATACTCGCGGCCCACAAAATATTTCATTTTTTTCTGACCTTCATTTTTAAATAATAATTTATATTTGTTAAATTATCTATAATAAATTGATTTTTTTATTAATGCTTTATTTTTTTATATAATAAATGTAAAACATAACTTTTTTATTTCATTATCTATTTGAATAACATCCAAACTTCACAATTAAACATAAAAACTATTTAATTTTTAACAAAAAATAAAATTAAAAACATTTAAAAGTTCATAGAAAAACAAAAAATATTGGAAAATAATTTAATGAGATTTCTGCTTCTGAATATCCTCAATTAATTTGTTAAAAAAAAAAAAACTAAATACGAAAAGTTTATCTTTCTTATTTCACTTTTCAATACGATATTCGATTATACATCAATTTTCTTTTTATTATATTCTAAAGGAAATTTTGCATAATTTGGTGGCCCCCTGGCAAACTTCTTATGGACCCCAAGGGGCCGCGGCCCCCCTGTTAAGAAACACTGCGATAGACCATCCCCAAAAAATTCCTAGTATGTTGATCATGACGTGTATTTAAAAGGCGAAACAGTAAATCTGATATTTTGATTGAATTTTGAATGAAAGTTATTACTCAAATCATTTCTTGCAAACAGATAGTTCAGAACTTAGGACAGCCAGATGACCAAGCAATTAAAGTAGCAGCCTATTGCTCTGAGAGGACCTGGGATTGAATATGGACGGGTCAAAAACTCCCAGGTTTTTTTGGGGGTGGTCTGTTCGGATATGTCGGGCCCTATCACTCACCATCCAGCCATTGCCCACCAGTGGCCGAATGATAAAACCACTGAACACTGGTAGTTGGTCGTGGGTTCGCGCCTTGCCAATGGGCTTGCCATGTGGAATTTTCTGGGTTTTCTTCACGTCAGTAACACCTAAATAAGGGCCAGTTTCCTATAAGACCTCCCAGGATACATTTCCCTCTTGGCAAATCGCCCATGTGTCACGTTACCTTAATCAAATAAAACTATCCGGCCACCCCATTATGGGTCTGGCTAGTGCCGACCCGAGACAGGTTTTAGGATGGAGCGAGATCCTATTATGGCGCCGGGGGTGGAACCCCGCCCACGCACTCGACCCACGCGCGTCTCAACAGATAAGGCCATTCACATACTGGCCACACGCTTGCAATTAAAATATCGAAAAGTGAAAAAAAATATTTTTTCCTTTAATTTTCTTTACCACTGAGGCGCCCCTTAGGACTTAGCGCCTGGAGCGGCTGCTCCGTTTGCCCCTAGGACTGTATACTACAAGGATAGCCAGATCCCTATTCTACAATGTTAGCCAGGAATGGCAAGTTAGTGACGTCACACGTGTCCTGACCTCTCTGTTTACATAGAGCAGGGTGTGCACGTGTTTAGTTTTCGCTTTTAATATTCGTCCAATTTTGTGATTAACGAAGTGATTTATTTTAATATTTCTGTAATTGTTTTATTTGACTAAGTTTTTTATAAGGTAAGATGATTTAAATATAAATCATTAAATATTTAAAGCTATATTTTTATGTTAGGTGAAGAACAAAATGCTGAGTACTAGGTGTGCAGTGTATGGTTGCAATAATAACCTTTTTTTTTCAAATTGGAAGCAACCTGTTTACATCGGGTTTGATCAAAAAATGACAAGAGAAATACTTTTAAAATTAATAGCAGAACTTTATTTACTATCGTATAATGTAGTAGCTCGCGTTAGTGACTGTAGTTGCAGTGACATAAGTTTATGGAAAGAATTGAATGTGAAATATCAATGAAACGTTTATTATGAATCAATTATTATTATCAATGAAACGTATATTAGAGATATAAATATGTGGTTCGACATTTTTAATAGCTATGCACCAAAAGGTTCTGTTCCAAGCAAAAATGGATATGGTGTAGACTTGGAATTACAAGAAGAACATTTAAATAAAATGATAAAAATAATCTCAACAATGAGAGCAAGTGGAAAAAATGCCCTCCAAATTTTTCAGAAAGGAATGATAATCTCAATGAAATCGCTAATTGGTCTTTTTCAAGATATGAAATCGACTTTTGATATAAAATACATCTGCACTCACAATTTAAATCAAGATTGTCTGGAAAACTTTTTTTTTTATCAAATTAGAAGCCGGGGTTCTAATGAACATCCAAGCCCATTAAATGCTATATATAGGATTAGATTGATTATTTTAGGTAAGAATCCTGGTATTTTAGAGTCAAAAGTAAATACTACAGATCGAAGACAAGAGGAATATATTATACCCAAAGTTTTAGAGAAAGCACATGTAGACGTATCAAGTGAAAATACAGACCAATATACTGAATGTAAAACTACTTTTTCTTCAAATAAATCTACAGGAAACTCTACATGCAATCCAGCCTTTAATACAATCTCTGAAGAAACTTCCTACGATGCTCTCGAGTATATAGCAGGATATCTTGCCTATAAATATAAAGAAAAATACCCAAACTTGGGTAATTCCACTAGCAAAATTAAAAATCATCACAACTATAGCATTCCGTCATGGGTGCAACATTTATCTTATGGAGGGCTTATTAAACCTACTGATGAATGGCTAGCAAAAATTACAGAGTTGAATAAATATTTCGAAATATATCACGGTGAATCGTATAAAAAAGGCCCCGGAGTTGTACAGAATTTGTCAGTGGAAATATCAAAACAAGAAACAGTTTTACCTTTTACCTTAATAAAAGATTTTTGTAAATTAAGAACTATAATAAGAATTAATTATAGAAATCTTAAACAAGAAAACTATAAAATATTAAAAAGAATGCCTTCTGAAAATGGTGATTGTCGAAAAAAAATTAAAAAGTTAAGTAAGATAATCACATAATAAAAAATATAGCTCATTAATTTGTTAAATAAATATTACACAAAAGACTTGTAAATTTATTGACGTACAGTACACTTATTAAATCCGAAAATTCTACAGTTTACATTTAGTAGTAATTTAATAATTAATTAAGAAATGATTTAATATTTTATCGTATTTTGTTATTTGAAAGATCTGTCGTGTTGAAGTAGAGGACATGCACATAGAGCCAAGGTCACGCTAACAAATATACGGGATCTGGCTATCCTTGTAGTTTAAAGTCCTTGCGTTTGCCCTACGGTAGGGCCGGCTCTGGGTCTGGCTAAACCCGTAATGGGCTTGCAAAAAAACGACCCCCTTAGTCCCACAAGACCAAAAAGGTTTAAAATAAAAGGCAATTGTTCGAAATCACTGTTGTAATGGATTGTTTTTATGGCTTTTGGGTGACAATACTGCACTGTTTTATCTTTTCCAAATCTGTCCTATATTAAAGACTTAGAAATCTGGTCACTGTAATGTTATCATAATAGGTCAGTTTTTAACATTAAACATCGAAAATGTTATTTTAATTAAAAATTCAAATAAATATAATCTTTAATTTTATATTAATTATTAAAACTATTGTTCTTCTATTTATAATTCAATTTTCAACTTTTACTTATAATTTAAGATTAAATCATAAAATAAAATCAAATTATAGTAAATTTAAACAATTTTAGAATACTAACATATTTAGCGCAGACTCCTCTTTTGTCTTGATTATCTAAGCATTCTATATTTTGAATTTTATGGATGCTCAGATATGAAAATAACAGTGACGTGCGGTGACATTTAGTGATAAGAAAGCTGTTTCCGTAAGAAGCTGACTTCCAGGGCAATCAGTTAATTGCAGTACTGTATACGTCAGTGATGGTCTAGTGTCCATTCGTATTCGTTTATTCGATAAGCTAGTAAAAACTGTAGACATCTTTAAATGTATTTTTAATATCACAATTACATTCTGAATCGCTAGCCACGATATAAGGGCTAAAAATATAAATAAAATAATGAAAACTTGCTTGGTGAAATAAAATGTGTGATGGATATACATACCTGGTACAGTACAAAATATTCTTCAATTGTATGAATATACTTTTAAAGAAAATTATAATCAAATATAGCTTTGTAAAGAAACGTACATAAAAATAACAAAATATTCTTTACTTTTTAAATCTTAAGACAATCCACTTAAGTCAAATAGTTCCATATGAGTAGCTAATGGATGGAATCAGAATAGGTTGCACGGCACGCGGACTGCCAAATCCCGAGGGTGCTGATACTGGTCAATGTCAAATGCCTCTTTTGTCGCATCACTAGTATACCTTGAAGGACGCGCGGCCGGATGGCCGAGCGGTCAAGGTGGAGCCTACCGCTCTAGGGAATCCGGGTACGAATCCGAACGAGTCGAAAAATCCCCAGGAATTTTTCGGAGGGTGGTCCGTTCGGATAGTCGGGACCCGTCCCTCACCACCCGGCAGCCCCATTGTGGGCCTGGCCGAACCCATAATGGGCTTGCAAAAAAAGGCCCTCTTAGTGCCCACAGGGCGGAAAGAGTTTAAAAACAAAACAAAAAAAAAAAAAAAAAAACTCAAAGGACGTGACAGGATTGTTGTAAATTTTAAACGTTTCTCACCATAGCTGTAAAAATCTACATATGTTAAACTTAATAGATTGTCTGTCATTTGTTTTCTAACTAATTCGTTTTAGATCCACGTGTCCATAGAAATTTCCAAAATTTACAACTTTTCAGTCACTCTCATTGAACTAGAAAGATTTGTCTTTATTACATCTAATATTACAAAGAAATCAATCTCCACTGTACTCGACTAGAGATTGGTTCGGTTAAGCTTTTGTTTAAGTAAAATTCCAGCTCTTTCAGAGGGGTTTTATTTATGTCCCTAATTCCCTAATCTCTTAATCTATTTAACTACTTCTTAAGTAGAAATAAGTTGAAACCGGTTACTTTGTACTCGAATATTTGTAGTCTCGGGAAAGAAGTGGAAAGACAAATTTTTATGATAACGGATACATAAATCGTAAATTTAAGGAAAATAAATTCTAGAGCTTTTTTTGTACCATGTGCGTCTCATTCATTAAATTTAGTTGTAAATGATGCTGCCAAAGTAACAGTTAATTTTTTTTTAACATTGTACAAGAATTGTGCACGTTTTTTCTACATCCCCTTATAGTTGGGATATACTAAATCGTAATATCACTGATTTAACATTGAAATCCGTAAGTAATATAAGATAGGACAGCAGAATAAATATATTAAATATTTTAATGGATTTTTTTAAAACTCCTGTCCAGAACTATCATAAAAACATACCAGTAAACTCCTATCGGTTGGGTTAAGTTATAAATCTACTCGTGATTTATTCATTCATTCCGCCACTGATATTCGAATATATATAGGGAGAAGGTGGTATTTATGGAACCCTGCAGGTATTATGAACCCCTCCATTTCAAACTGATAATAAAGGAGAACTGTAGCGGATTGTGGCTGAACTGCACTAGGCAGACATTCATAGTAAGGGGAAAGCCCGTTTCACTTCAGTTAAACGGTTGTCCGTAGTGAATTAGCATATTTGTGTTTTTCGAAATTCGAAAGTTTTGAATGCTAAGTGAATTTAATTATTTCTAAAATATAAATCGTGTAGTTATAGGTTCACTGGTGCATGTATTCCGTTCCAGAGACTTATGGGTACATATTAATCTGTGTGATATTCACGTTTTTTAAAAATTGGTCTTGACAGACAAGTTAATAAATTCAAGATGGCTATGCGTGAAATACGGACCCCATTTGTGCTTTTAATATGGAACCCGTCTAATTTTTGTAAAAGTATGTGGTAGATGAATGAAAAAATAGATACCTAACACTATAGGACGGTGAGGGACAGGGGATATTAGGGGATATTTGTGATTTTTGTAAATGATTAGCTTTTTCTTTGTACATTTCTTTATTATTATTATGTTGGGTTTTGTGAGTTATAATCGGTTCACACCGGTGGCTGTGTACTATGCCGGACCAGAGTCAAGGCATAGCAACCAAAATAAAACTAAAATTAAATAAGTGTGTCAGTGTGTGTTTCTGTATTCAGGAATTTCCTAACAATTATTATTATTATTATTAAATCAGTTTTGCGATAAAATACATTGGAGTAAATAATTCTGTAATTATTTAACATTCTTTGTACTTTCCTATTTGTTCTTGGATACATTAAAGCATTTTTTGAAAATATACAGTAAGGTTCCATATTAACACCCGGTTTTCCCTAAGCCTACTTCCTGACTTTTTGTACAGAAGCCTTCAAAAACCATACTTATAGTTACACTGGCGAAAAATCCAATTAGGAACATTTAGTTTTATAGTTACCAGTACTTTTCGCACAAAAAATGTGGGTGTAGTTATGATACCTTGTTTACAATTCACTATAATGAAAATGGGGTTCCATAATACCACCTTCTCCTCATATAGTAATCTTATCGTTTTTCTCACATGTAGTATAGAAATTTGTAATAAGATACATGATGTGGTTATAATAAAATATTAATTTTAATTAATTTAAAGTACGTTAAAATATGAAAATAATCGCGCAATATGTAATTATATGTTAGAAAATACAAGGGAAGCGGCGCTTCCACTGTATCCAAGGATGGCATGCCACTGTAGTATTCACATTTGTAACATCTATCAACTGGTCATCTAATTTGAATATGGGCGAGTTTATTTACAAATTTGCCATAATAAAATTAATATGATGTAAACAATCCTAAATTCTGTTAAATGATTTTATTTATATTATCAAAAATGATTTATAATTTTATAGATCACTGTATTTGCAAGATCAAAACTAAATCAAACCAATATATACTTGCAAGAAAATTTATCATGTAAGCTTTCTTAATTATTTTTCTGATCTTTATTGATAGAATTTTATTGAAATTTTGAAGAAAACATATTGCACCATAATTTTAAAATAGTTTTTATTGTTTAAATTAATTGAAGATCCAATTTTACAACTTTAAATTATTTTAGTATTTGTTTCATCATATGAAACAGATGTTATCAAAGTTCAGTGTTATCTGTTCACAACTGGCAGTGACAGAGCTAAGTACAGTATTTAAATAATAATATTGAAGTTTAAATGCTTTACATACACTGAAATGCAATGAATAAAGCTAATTATTATATTCATTATTGCAACCAAATTACTTTTTCTTATAAGAAAAAAATAGCATTATTTATTTAACTTAACATAGAAATTTCTGAGCACATGGAAACCAACGACACATACATGCATATGTATATACAAAATAGTGCTAAAATTTGAAGCGTTTAAAATGAAATGCCATATTATTTTTGAACAGAGTTAACAAAGTAATCAACACCATAAAAATGAGTAACAATGATTTTAAACTGCTCACAGTTATGCTTTACAAAAAAAAAAAAAAAATCACTATAAAAATTTAGAATTAATTTAGAAATATGAAATCTGTTTACAAAATCTAAACAGAAAATATTTCCAGTATATCTGTTAATTTTTAAAAATCACTATTTATATTAATTTGTTTTAAAAGTATTGATACTTATTCAAATTCAGATAAATATATATTTGCACTAATTATGCACTCTTCAGGTTATCTTTCAGCAAAACTTCTATAACTTCATGAATTTTCTTGAATGAATCTTTTTAAAAATTAGACTAGTTCACTCGGGGAATAAAATCAATAGTGGGTATATAAGATGTATACTGTCTCATACACACTTGACATCTTGATATACGATTATGGATATTACCAGCTTTAAGTGTATCTGGTTCAGGTTTCTTGAACTGGTTTCGATTTTCAATAGTTGCTAACCAGAAACTAGTTGCTGTGTGATAATATTGGCAACGTCCATGTCCATGACATTCTATAAATGGTGTAGTGTTAAATTCTTCTAAACAAGAACCAGGTGATGATAAGGATTGTCCACTTCCCTCTGATCCTGAATCAGTATTCTTGTTGATTAAGAAGAAAAAAACAAAAAAAAAAAAAAATAGAAAGTTACTATCATTTATTAAATATAAAATTGAAACACTATAATATATTTACCATGATAAAACTGTAACCAATCCAGATACCATTCCATCCTTCTGGACAATCTGGAATATCCATAGTTTGACTGTGAACTGCAATCACCTAGAAAAAAATATATAAAAAATTTAAGAACTAAGAAGTTTGGTAGAACTGATATAATGTAATAGCTTCAAGTTGATTGACTACCTTAGTTGGAGCTTCACAAACTACACAACGACTGATATATTTTCGTATCTTTATTCCAGTAATTGGTTTCATATCCATTGGCATTGGTTCAGAAGTGCTTAACCAATAACTGAAATCATTTCTTGATGCAGAATTACATACATTATTTAAGTTACAGAATAAAAATGGCATTGTACTGAAACGTTGAAGACAACTTCCAGCTCGACCTATAGTAAAACAGGAAATCAAATTATGGTAGTGAAAAAATTATGTTTTATGAAGTTTAAACAATAAAAAAATTAAACTTTTAGAACTCTTAGATTAAATATGGTTTCTTTATGCATGTGTGCATTTATGTGTTTATTTATTTTATTCTAAAAATTAATAAATTTAAAAATGGTGAAAGCAGACTAGCATTTGTTGCACATAGGACTAATACCAGGGCAAATGGTAATATTTGTATATATCTATTCAGAGGTATCACAAATATATTTGATAAGTTGGATGGCCAAGCAGTTGGAAGGTCAAGCTTAGTGTTCAGGGATTCCAGGATTGAATCTGAATGAGTCAAAATGAATCCCAGGAATTTTTTGGGTGATAGTCCATCCAGATATGTCAGGCCCCTTCCCATACCACCCAACCACTTCACTGTGGGCTTGCCAAACCAATAAAGAACTTGCTAAAAAAAAGGCCTTAGTATCCACAGGGTGGAAAGAGTTAAAATAAAGAATTGAAAATGATATAAAATTAGGATTTTTATTGTATATATATCATATCAGAAACAACATTTACTAATTTTTAGTTCTTATCTGAAACTATTGAAGTTATTATATTAATAAAATTGAAGACAGTCTGTCCAATAAAGGACCACCATTTATTATTTCTGTGTTCCAGACAATACACATTCTTGGCAACAGACCTTTCCTTTTAGGCTACTTGTTGCCAGAAGTTTAAAAAGTCCTTTTAAAAACACAAAAATATATCCAATTAAAATTACAAAAAATTTCTAAAAAAGGAACTGGTGACATTCAGACGTCTTTCTTGCATCCATCATACCTTCGTTTGGGGTGATATTGCTTTTATCTACTAAAAAGAAGCACTGGAATATGTAGATTTAATGAAAGCTGCCCCGTGGTGACAATACCTGTAGATTTTCATCTGTAAATTTTTTCGTCCGATGAAGATTATTTTTTAATAAAATTGAAGACAGTCTGCCCAATAAAGGACCACCATTTATTATTTCCATGTTCCAGACAATACACATTCTTGGCAACAGACCTTTCCTTTTAGGCTACTTGAATTTTATTAAAAAATAATCTCCATCGGATGAAAAAATTTACAGAAAAAATATTCATAAGTTAATATTTGTAATTTTAAATGAAATACCTCAAACTTTTGTATGCAATTTTATAAGGCTGGTCTAGAGATAAAATTTATCACATCTTAAATATACTTTACAAAATTAAAGAATGTAACTTCATTGTAAGTTAAGATATAAATTCATTTTAGCATTTTAATTATATAATTAAAATATTAAGAGTTAATTATAAAATAAAAAACTTATGTATGCTAATTAACATGATAATTAGTTTAAATTTATTAATATTTTTCAAACTTTAGTAATGTAAATATTTCAAATACTTATATTTATGTGCATTTAAATGTTTCTTTGATAAAAAACAGATAAAAAAACAAAAAATTTGTTTAAAAGAGTGTAGAAAGAATCTCAAAGAATCTGTTCTATTCACCTGAAGAAAATTTTATTTATTCATAGTTCTTGTGAATTTTGTTAATTTTCTCTCATATATTTCTATTTGCTAGTAAGGGCAGTATTATTCCTTGTGGTTATTTTTATTGAAATATTAATGTGCATATTCTTATTCATATTGTATTCTTTCTCATTCTTTAAAAATTTTATTCCTCATTTAATAAATAAAAAGTAATGAAATTTTACTCAATAATAAAATTTTTCCCAAAAACAAATTTTCAGAAGACCCACATGATGTAGTTAGCAACTTATAACAACAAACTCAAACTCAAAAAATATATTGTAATCAAATTTGTGTGTAAAATTTGAAAAATGAGAATTTTATAAGGATTTATGAGAATTATATGTTTAGTAAGAAAAATTTATAACATTACAAATATTATTTTTTTATCAAATTTCATTTCATTTCTTCACATAAGGAGTATACTATTCATGTGCATAAATAAGATTTATACTATTGTGATATTACATACATTTAATATTTTTTATTTATTAATAAAAATTAAAAATTGATCATAAAAGTTATAATTTTTGTACTATTTCCATTTTTTAAAGTAATTACATAATAAAAAAATATAAAAACTTTTAAGAAAAGTCTCAGTTAATCAAATTTTTGAATTGTTCTAGTTATTTGGAAATAAATTAATTTTGAAATTATTTTGTATTTTTTATAGATATTGAATATATATTTTTGAACATTCAAAACACCTTTAAGCCCATTGTAACAAATATTTTTATATACAAGTACTCATATAGTATTTCTATACTAAAAAACTAAGTACTGTATCTGAATTTTCAATTACATTAATTTCAATTATTGCTTCTTGATAGTTTCATCAAATACTCTGACTTATACTGGATATTTGCTTTGCGAAAAGTATTTCAAATATAAATATTAACTGAATTAATAAATGCACCTTTAACAGTGAGTGAAATTAAAGGAATGCTAACATTTGTGATCTAGTTAATGTTCCTTTAATTTCATCTACTGTTAAAGATACTGTATATTGATAAATTCAGAAAATCAACTACATTGGCTAGTTCATTCCTGTAAATGCCAGTATTTGGTATTTGTATTTGAAATACTTTTTGTAGTATTTTACTTTGCCAGTCTTGCTACTAGATTATTGTTTCTATACAGAGACAAGTCTTGATAGATATAATGTAAGTTATAGCTTTACAGACAAATTTGTTTGATTTATTATTTTATTTTTACTTATCAATTTTTATAATTTACATATTTTAATAACAAATTTTTAATTGTTTTGAAATTAATTCTCATTGTGTGATAATTATAAAATTAAAATATCAAACAAATATTTCTGCTAATTAACTTATTATAAAATAATTTTATTTAATAAGTTTATTTAAATAAATTTATTCACTCAATCAAATTTATTTTCAAGACAAAAGATAAAAGATAAAAAATATATATACATAAAGAAATAGTGCTTTAAATATTTGAAGTTTATTATGATCTTTAATATTCTTATTCAATATATTTAATACATATCTTGTTGATAGGATTGTTACTGACATTAAAAATAATATAATGTTTATTTACATTGTATTTGTTTTTAAACATATACTGTATATATTCATCCAATAAATCTTTAATTTTTTATTACCTTAAACTTTGAACTTTAAAAATTTCCCAAAATTTACTTTAAAAAAAAAATTAACTTAGGACAGTTCTTTTCTGTAAGAATTGCAAATGAGTAAATCCTAAATATCAAATAATTTTAAACCTCTTGATATTCTATTTAATATTTACAAATGGAATTTAATAGACAATTATTTCTGTTTGGGTAATTTAATCTTTTGGCCTAACAAATATTTCTTTTACTAAACATGTTGTAATGATTCACCACTGCTGTATAACATTAAATATTTACTTTTATCATTTTATAAGATTAATTAGGATTTAGTCAATTAAAAGCATGATGACACTCATCTTAATACTTCTAAATATAAAATTATTATTAATTTTCAAATCTTTTTTATAAAATTGAATAGAATTTTTCAGTTTTAATTCAATGTTATAAAAAGTTAGAAATCAGTGTTATTGAGGGATAGATTAACTACATTTTTAATTGTCATTGTCACAATATGATGTTGAATTTTTATTTTTAATAAAAGCTACCAATAAAAATAATCTAAATTATATAAAATTTTTTATTGTTCTATAAAGACTATTATATCCTAAGTTTGATAAGTTTGAAGAAAATACATGATTTAATACATGAAAATTTAAAGCTCCTACATTTGTCTTAGAAAAAAGGTTGCATGGTTATATCTCCTCCCTAATGGATAGCAGTGTTCTGGTAGCACAAGATCCTACAATAGTAGTTAAAGAGTTGCAAGATATAGCTCTGATGGATGAGGAAGTGGGAACAGTATTAGATTATGAGAGTTTATACCCTTCAATTAAAATTGAGTCTTGTTTGGAAACGTTAATGGTGTTCTTGTTTAAAGAAAACCAAGAGTTGATACACCACAAGAACGAGGTTTTAGAGATGGCTAACCTTGTATGCTGTGAAATCCTTCTTTGGCTTTGAAGGCCAAACGTACAAACAAAACAGGGGAGTTCCTATGAGAAGCCCAATATCGGGGCTTCTATGCGAATTGGTGGTAAGAAAAATAGAGGAAAAGGTTGTGCATAGCTTCAGAAATGATATTGTTTACTTCAAGAGATATGTCGACGATATCTTTATACTATGGAAAAATAATCGAGAAAGCAGTAATTTTATAGAAAGAATCAACGATAACAAAGACGGCCTAAACCTGAAGCTAGAGCAAAAAAGTTCCATAGTGATACACTTCTTGGATATCAATATCATCTTTAACAAAGGGCATTTATCTACTAGTGTGTATACTAAACCAACACATAGCCCACTCTACATTCCTGCGCAGTCCAATGATCCATTTCGTTATAAATTAGAGCTTTTTGTGTCTTAGTTAGAAGGGCTTTTCTATATTGCAATAACATTATGGACAGAAATAAAGAAATGAAAAGAATTATGCAGATAGCAGAAACCTTGGGTTACAGGAGAAACATAATCGCCGGCATTATTAGAAAATTTGAGATAGGCGAACAAGGGCCTCAAAACAAAAACCTAGTAAATACACAAAGTGTACATTCAACAAAAATGTAAGAACCATCATGAAGGAGATTGCGGACAGTAAAGGATCAACGTTGATCATAAAACGAGCTCCGAATCTGTACAAGATTCTAAGAAATGATAAAGGGGATATCAAAAAGGAAGATAAAGCAGGAGTTTATAGGATCCCGTACGAGAACCAGCAGTTAGGAATAGAAAAGGAGTACATAGGAGTTACAACGAGAAACCTAGGAATAAGGGTCAAAGAGCATAAATACGATATTAGAAAAAGATCTAACGCAACAGTTCTGGCCCAGATGGCTCAGGCCCAAGGATCCGTAGTTAGATGGGAGGATGCGGAAATCATCAAGCAAGTGCACTCCCCAACTTTAGCGAAAACTGCTGAAAAA